AATAATATAATATTATATATATTATATATATATATATATATATATATAGTAGGTGAGATGAATAAATAATTTGTTTATCCATCGCGATCTTCGGCGCTTAGTTGAAGCTGATGAGATGTATAAAATTCGCAAAAGATTATTATTAGACGCAAGATCCCGCCTGACTGGAAGTGCCACAATATTTATAGAATAAACAGATTTTTTTTAAATAATAAAATGAAAAGATACGACGAGCATATGGAATTTTTTATTGCAGATTGAAAGAGCGCAACATCCGTAGATGCAGCCAACATGGATTCCCACGTTGGTCTCGACTACATCGTGGATAATCCCGATTATTGCGTCAAGCTCGCCTCAGGTAAATTATCCGACGTTCCCGATTCCGTAATCCCGCGAGATTGTGCCGAGATTGTATTAACGCCTCTATATCTTGCCGATTGCAGCGTTGGAGACCGCATGCCCATCCGTGAAGAAGCAAGTCGTGAAGCTGCTGTCGGCGCTGTGCGTTTACAGCCAGGACGGCAGGCAGAGAGCCATCGATACTCTTCACACGTATCAGGTAACTGCCTTCGAAGACAAATTTCACTGCAATTTTCGCTCGTCGACGATCTTGATCCCAAAGATGCGGAGACGAGGTCGCGACCAGTCGCGATCCCAGAATTCGCACGACGGTGCTTCGAACGCAGAAGAAAAAAAGGTCATACCTGCCGCGTTGCAAAGTGATCGTGTCGCATCGTGCTTAGTAGTAAAAGTCGCGGTTCAAGGTCTCCCTTCGGCGAACAAAAGAACGAAGCGCACCGCAATAATATACTCCTCCTAAGACCGATGTACATGCTACGGCGCGCAACAAGTAAGAGTGAGTTGCCGTAATATTGCCCATTGTATAACCATCGCGAAACCCACCGCGTTGCGAAATATATTTTTATCCCGGTACGATTTGCATGCTGGGGACAGATCACCGTCGTCCTCGCGTTCCTCGCGAGAGATAAATTCTTTCGTCATGTTCACCACGCGCCGGTATCCGAGAAAGGAGCCGAATAAATCAAGCATCAATCAATGCAGATCTCAGAAAATTCTCTCGGATCTCACGCGAAGTGATTTCTCGTTTTGGTAACACGGAACGTAAAAGTTTTTTTTTTTTCAATTTCATACTAATGAAAATATTTTTTAATCCACCGCCTATGTGAGATTACTAAAATCGTCTTTGTTCTCTATTCGCCGCGAGCGAAAACGCGAGTCGATATTTCGAGATGTCATTTTCCCCCAAGCAGAAGACACAAACGATGATAATTTAAATCTTAAGGATGTGTTACATCTATTTTTATAATTTTTATATTTACAATAAAAAATTATGAAAAACTTATTAAAAACAGACTATTCGACTACATCGAATTTAAAAATGATACGGAAAAGTTTAGCCGCGTAAATAAATATTAAATTTTAGAAACAAATGATGGTACAAATAAAATTATATTATTATTTTTTTTAAACAACTAATTTCTCTAATCTCTCTAATCGCAATGCAATTTTACATAAATCATCTTGAATATCTAAAGTACTAAAAAAATTGAGATTTTTATCATTATTTCTTATTTACGTATAGAGCACACACTTCTACTTATTTAAATAATTTTTTATCCAGGCTCTAAACTGCCGCAAAATTTTTGTATTGTTTAAATACGATCTAAATAATAATCTATAATTTTTTCATCGTTAATGAAAATAAGTGTGACATATTCTTAATCAAATATCTATATCTGGATGCACAGGAGCGGAAGGGCGAGCGTTATCGATTGCGAGTCGTGGTCGACGAGCTGCAGAAAGCGACAGAGGAGGATTACCAGACGGCACTGCTGGCATTCATAAATTGTTTGGTCATCTCGACGCCGGTGCTCAAGGATCGCATACGTATTCGCAACGAGTTCATCGGTAAGTGAAAGAGAGCGGCACTCAAGTCTTCTTGGCGGATGCTATTAAGGTGCAGCTTCCTCGTCGCCGCGAGACTAGCACTTGACTGTCGCACATTCCCTCGAAAAATCCTTCAGACAAACGAACGAAACGATTTAACACTTTAACTCGTCGGAAACGCCGACGAAACATACGCCAAGAAAATTACTCTTTACGAACGTTGTGAACGTTAATTATTAATTTAAAATTGTTATTTAAATTCGAAACAAATTTGCTGACTATTTTTTTCTTTGTAGTATTCCTCTTGTTTTTACTTTTCTTAATCATCGCACGTAAAATTCATACGATAAAATGAACGATTCGAAATCATTTCTATATTAATCAAACATATTGATTGCAAGATTTCTGTTGCAGGTCTCAAACTTCTACCGATCCTGAACGAACTGCGGTGAGTATACTGCAACAACTTGCAGCATTAACTTATTAACATTTGATCCGCAGCATTAACTTATTAACATTTGTGGAATAATAAATAATAATGAACGTTACGAAAGAACGCTTTATTGTTACCCATACCTTTTCCTTTGCACGCAGCTTAATGTTACGCGAAGATAATTATATAAAGGATTGGTTCACCTTAAGAGATAGGATCCTGTTGTGATGGTACTGATGTGCCTGAATTCCGATTCATTTGCATGCATTAATTCAAATATTCTTGCGAAATAGTTTGCAATAGTATCGAATGTCTGTCTTAATTCTCAATTGACTGCAGATTTGCATAACCATTTACATAAACAAACAAATAGAACATTATTTTCAATAATCTTGCCAATTTGTACACATCATATAAGTAAATATTGCTATGATATTTGCTATATTTTGTTTATATGGAAAATAGTAATTTTTATTTCATATTTTGGATTTATTATATTATTTTTTATTTTCTTTTTAAGTAACATATTTTGAAATCATATCTCAAGATGTATCTAGTCTAATTATCAAATTGTATTGTCCTATATCTAATTGTTTCAGATATAAAGCATTAAAAAATTGTTACTTGATATATTGTCAGTTTATATCTAATTCGAAATCTACATTCCCTTTGCTGTTCTCTTTGCTATAACCTGAAATTATAATTGGATAATTAATATTATATACAACGAGACATTTTGTTGATTATTATTATTTAATTACATAGTACAAAGTACTTTCTTTTTATATAAACGTCTACATAATAGAATGTTCACTCAAATATTATTTCCGAAAAAGTTTATACTCACAAATGTAATTTAATCAATTACTAAACATTCAGATATTAAAAAAGAGAGATTTAACAAAATTAAATATAGTTAAATATTGCAATATATAATACAAATGTCAGAATATTTCATTATATTCATCATATTTAAAACATTAATATTTGCTTTATTCAAGTTAATATTTAATTAAATTACTTATGACAAATATATAACTATCACTTTTACAATAATAATAAAAGATAGATATAAATCAATTTCTAATATGTACGAAAATTATATTGAAAATTGGCAAATTAACAAATTTGAGAAAATATTATTGAATATTTTATTATATAAGGTATTTTATTTTAATATTTGTAACAGCTATATTTTAATTATAATATTCCATTATACAACTTTTGATATATATTTATTGTAAACATAAAATCTATTATGTTGATTTATGGAAAAACAATTTATGAAAACAATGTTTGAAACAATTACCAATTATGTCCTTAATTTTCGATAATTTCCACAAATATTCTGTTCTATTGAAAATTTGTACTCGCATTATTTTCCTCAGTCTTTGTCCTTTTCAATATATCAGTATTATTTTCTTCCGTATCTTCATCTCTCTTTCTTTTGGTGGTGTCACGGAGATCGTGAATCAGAAATAGATGATCCTTCATATCTTGTATTCCGACAAGACTTTGCAATAAAAAATCTTTGCAATAAAAGCAAAAGATTCTTTTCAGATTTTTATTAAAAGTAACATGGTTGTGTAACCATGTATTTTTGATAGAATCTTCAATATCTTGAAAATGCGGCGAACAATGACGTTCTATTTTAGAAATATCATATGTATGTTCCACTATTTCTTCACAAAAATTGCATTTTACTGCGAATATTCCTTCTTTCTTGACATATTGCCAAACCGGGTTAGTACTTTGTTCTATTCTCCATGCTCTAATTTCTTCTGCATCACTTATGTTATGTTTGTAAAATAAATGTGCTTTATGCGAAGCGAGTATTTTTTTTCCACTTGCATTAAAACTAATCCCACATATTTTGCACATTATTTGTTTATCGTCGATTGTTTCAAAATATTTCCATGCCCAATTTTCCAGTAATGGTTCCAATGATGCCATTGCGTCTAAATCACAAAGCTCACGTTAAATGTATCAACTATGCCAGGGCCAGGATTCTGTATTCGCTTAACGACAACTATCGGTATCGTTAACTACGACATCCAATGACAGCCGCGCTTTTTTTCAAGATCGTCCTTGCCATTGGCTGTTGGTGTCGTTAACTGACTAGCCAATGACAAAGACGATCGTGGAAAAAAGCACGGCTGTCATTGGCTGTCATTAGTTAACGATACCGACAATTGTCGTTAACGCAGAGCGACATAATGTCGCTATAAGTCGCGTTTGAGGAGCGCGCTATTAGCGCTATCACATCATTTCATTTTTATTGTTCATTTTATGTATATTAAGGATAGAATGATGCGATAGTTCTAACAGCGCACTCCCCGAACTCAGCCATTAAATAAAATCAAAATATAAACAAAATATTTGTTTACATTCACGACCGTCCACTTTTCATAGAGAGTTTCATCGAGCATCTTGTCTGTAAGCCTATTCTCTAACTTCTTAATGACAGTGTCATTATCGTTACGTTGTCGTTGCGCAGATATAATATATGGCTATATAAAGAGCTGCGTAACGACATATCTAACTAGTGAAACTGTCGTTAAGAAGTTAGAGAATAGGCCTACTGGACCGGGATTCTGTACTTACTTACCGACAACTATCGGTATCGTTAACTGATGACAGCCAATGACAGCTGTGCTTTTTTCCACGATCGCCCTTGTCATTGGTTGTGTTTGATTATTTCTTCCTCCGAAGCCAAAATAATGAAATTTTCTGTTTTACCATTCATGAGAAATTAGGAAAAGATTTAACTTAATCGGAAGTTTATATGTCCAAACAGCACAAAGTCGACTGTTAGTCGATTATATAAGAATTAAACGATTGTAAGCGGTCATGAAAGAGATTCGGATAAACATCTAACTGAGAAGAGCCGTTGTGCGGACTAAGTGTCTTGGTAGTAAACGAGAGGGATCTCTCGAATTTCAAATCCAGTTGGTCTCTATAGTCTTTTACATGGTTATGGCTAACTTTTACAGAAAAGTCGACGTTTAGTCGACTTTTACAAATCGACTTGAAATCGATTAAAAAAAAGTCGACAATTAATCGGCACATAATCATTTGTGCTATACGGGGTTGATCGTATAATTTTTTTATACAGGAATATATAATGTTATTGACAGCAATTATTGTAAAAAAAATACTTGTAAATTTCTTATTTTATTTAAATTTATCCAAGGAACATTGACGTTGATATATGTATTTAAATTAGTACGAAAAATTTATATAACGAGATTCTACAGATGTGTGATGGGTTCGTATTTATTTGTATTATTTATTATTTTCTGACATATATTTTTTAATAAATTATAAAATCCAAAAATATTATATCAATTTGTATCAAACTTTGTACACATTTTAATATTTGTTTTGAGTGATGCAGAGTTGCCGAGCACAGTGACGGAGAATAAGTGAAGTTCTCTCGAACAATAAATTATACACTATTTTTATAAGCAAATTAACATTAGTCGTGACGATATCCATCAATCCTCTTTTTGCTATGATAAATTTTGTTTGAGATAAGTCGACGACCTCATTCTCGTCTACCTATCTTGCTTTCAATTATATTCCAAAATTCTTCAAACATTATTAACGTATCGAACTTTGCTCGCCGATCAATATTGCCCCGTGCTGGACAATTTGAAGTATCTACCGCAATCTGTATTTACATAAAACATTGTGGCTTTGTTCCATCACTCGACTAAATATTAATCGAAAAAATGCGATTAAATCGAAATCTAGGATTATCATTATCTTATTTCTCTCATTACGCTGCTCGAATCATTTTGTGTATATTTCTTTTCCTTCGTTTTATTTCAATCCATCAGCTAGTACGTATCATGTAGTTATGTGTTTCTTGTTTTTTCAGATTCGATTATTCAACACGAAATGCTTTAGAAGTATGACGATCCCATCGCTATACGCTTATATTTTCAATTGTCACGTGTCATGATAAAAGTGATCATATAATTAATGTTTAATAAATCATAAAATAACAGAGAAAATTTTTAATAAAATATTTTTGTGCAATTTTTAACTTTTTCATTCGTAATTGGATAAAATGCGTACACGTATATAAAAAAATGTATCTACTGTCAAAATGCATTATATCTATGTTGATAGCTGCTCACTCACGGAATAAACGTAACGAGAGAATTCATCAGCGTTACAAAAAAGAATCGATAACAATTCATTTATATTCGAGAACCTTTTTAACATGCTTATTATAGGTTAATTGAAACCGATTGTAAGTCATATACTCTGACATATTAGATTAAAATTGTTGACTCCCCTTAGATGTTGAACTACATTTCCATATGATAGATGTAACATGTTATGTTATTTGTTCTTAAAAAATATCTTGGAAATCTCTACTTTCTTGTTGACTGATGAACTAATATAAATTCCTGCTCGTATAGCAAAAGTAAATTACGTCGTGTTTAAAAGAATGATGATAAATCATCGTGGTATGTTTAATTATCGGAAATTAATTGGATTTTATTTGAGATTTTTTTATCGAATTTTTTAAAATGAGAAATATATAGTCGAATTCAGTTCTCACATATAATTAAAGAACAATTTAATAAAAAATATGTCCAAAATTTTCTTACCGTACCGTACCGTATCAGATAATTAATGACATGTGTTAAATATTTCCGTTGTAACTTTTACTTTAATCTAATAAAAAAATGATAATATATGCTATCGTCTAGGCCATGTTTTAAACATTGTTGATATAAGATGAATGCAAAGATATGCAATTGTAAAAATTAATTCAAATATTAAATTTTACAATAGCAACAAAATATATTATTTGATAAAAGTGATATATCAAATCGGTTTATTAATCAAATAGATGACTGGGAAGATGAAGAAATGTGAATAATTAAATCAAATTCTTGTTCCATTTTAAAATATACTTTCTAATATATTAAATGCATAAGACAAATTATTTTTTTAAATGTCAACTTATTATAAAAATGTGTCCATTTCTATTATGATAATTCATTCATAATACATCGATTTTCGAAGAAACATGAGTATGAAAATTAAAGTGTTATTAATAATTCTAAAAGTAAATATTAAGTAAATATTAAATAAATATTAAAATAAATATTAAGATAAATATTAAGATTACATATGCTTTCTACAGTTCAATATAATATTATAATGAGTAATTATAAAATGACATCAATAATAAAATCATATCAATTATAAAATATAATTTCAATCAAATATAATGTAAATATCATCCAATTTTATACAATTATCATTTTAATAATTATTATAATCATATATAAATTATACATAATTACAATTATAAATAATTATAATTATATATAAATATTATTATTGTATATAATATAATAATTATATTAGGTTTAAATTGGGACTATGATTACGATACTATAATATTAATATAATCAAATAGAAGATGTATGAAAGGAAAGCAATTTCTTATTATGGATGTAGTCCTATGTTCTTATTATGGATGTAATTCTTTCTTCAGTTAATGTCTGAGAAAAAAGGTAATAACTTGTAAAGGTCCTTGATATATGATTTAATTGCTCTCAATGTCTTTCTCGAAATCTTCATCATCATCCTTTATTTATTTTGAACTTATCGATAACCTGCAAGCCAATGGGAGAGATGTATAAAAAAAGAAAAACTGCCTTAATATAGCTAATATAATGTTACATTTTAATTAGGTATATTATTATATTATTATATTTAAAATGGAATTGTTTTTATTTATCCAAGAAATCACATATTCAAAATTATTAATACTCAGACAAATGCCAAATTTTTCTAAAATTTGTGTATACCAAGGAGACAATAAATTAAAAGATTTTAATGTATATATGTATTATTAAATTGAGATATGCTTTTGCTATTGACAACAAAATAATTTGGGATGTTAAACAAGTAATATATTAAACACATATATTGAAATTATAATATGATATTAAGAGTAGAACACATATTTAATATGAAAATTTTATAATAATTTAAAGATACTTTTTGTATTTAGTATTTGATATATATATAATACATTTGATCTTACTTCTCACAGACTAACAGGTATTTACAACATTTAATACTATTAATTTTAATTGTTCTTTTTGTGTGGCTTCTTAGTATGTATCTTTTCGTTAAAAGTTTGAATTTGTTATTATTCTTTTCAACAACGGATGGTTGTATTATTACCTCAGTAATGTATTTCTTCCCACGGTGCATTTTTAATGGTCTTTTTTGCAAAAAGTATTTTAAATTGCATTTGAGTTAATTATATTTTTATAATTATTTTTTTTAATTATATGCAGTATGTCGCGTCTACAATGTCAAAACGAATGTTCGATAAAGCTGTTTAGAAGAAATCGAAGAGAAATAGAAATCCTTGCTTCAATAGAAATATATACAGTGATATATAGTTTCCATTTTGTCAAATTATCAAATTGTTTGCTCTACATTTAATTCTATAAGACATAAAAATAATGTTGTTTAATGTATTATCGGTTTTAATATCTAATTCCAAATATATCTACATTCTCCATGCTGTTGCACTATAATCTGAAATTAGAATTCGATAATTAATATTATATTTAACCAGATATTTTGCAGATTATAATTATTGAATTACTAATTTAAAGTGATTTTTTGTACATAAACGTCTGCATAATAGAATATTCACTCAAATATTATTTTCGTTCAAAAAAGTTTATATTCACAAATGTAATTTAATTAATTACTAAACATTCAGATATTAAAAAAGGGAGATTTAACGAAATTAAGTAAAATTTAATATTACAGTATTTATATATATATACAAACATCAGAATATTTTATTCTAATATTTAAATCATGCGTTATATTCAAGTTATAATATTTAATTAAATTACATATAACAAATACATGACTATCACTTTTACAATAATAATAAAAGATAAATATAAATCAATTTCTAATATGTTACGAAAATTATACTGAAAATTGGCAAGTTGACAAATTTGAGAAAATATTATTGAATATTTTATTATATAAAATATTTTATTTTAATATTTGTAACAGCTATATTTTAATTATAATATTCCGTTATTCAACTTTTGATATATTTGTTGTAAACATAAAATCTATTGGTATATGGAAGAGGAAAACAACGTTTGAAACATTTACCAATTATGTCCTTAATTTTTTATAATTTTCATAAATATTCTGTTCTATTGAAAACTTGTACTTGGCTTATTCTCCTCTTTATCTATTCTCATTCTTTTGGTGGTGTCGCGGAGATCGTGAATTACAAACAAATGATCCTTTAAGTCTTGTACTTTGAAAGAGATATTTAAAAAGTCTTTGCAATAATAACAATATACTTTCTTCTTCTTTATAAAAAATCTCATATGATTGCGCAACCAAGAACTTTTGATAGAATTTTCAATTTCTTGAAGATGCATCGAAAAGTGAAGATTTAAATTAGAAATCTTATATGCATGTTCCACTGTTTCTTCACAAAAATCGCATATCGCAGCGTATAGTTCGCCTCTTTTGAAATTTCGCCAGATCGGCTCAGGATTTTCTTCCGTTTGCCACTTTTCGACTTCTTCTGTTTTAGATATGTTATGTGCGTAGAATAAATGTATTTTATGGGAAGGGAGTATTTGTCTATCTACTGGAAAGATACTCCCACATGTTTTGCACTTTAATCCATCCTCATCAATTTTACAAAAATATTCCCATGCCCAACTTTTCGGCATTATATCTGCACAATATCACACAGCTCAGGTTATTAAACGTATCAACTATGCCAGGCAAAACGAAACTGTTGTCGATGCTCGATTAAATTGTTTCTGAAAAGAGGAAGGTCGTAAATTCTCGCTTGAATATAAACAAATATCAGCATACATTTTGATTTTATTTTATAGCGACATTATGTCGCTCTGAGTTTGATTATTTGTTCCTCGGAAGTCAGATCAATGTAATTTTCTATATGACCATTTATGAGAAATTAGGAAAAGAATTAACTTAATCGAAAGTTCAACATGTCCACTTGATC